CCCACCGGAGGCTTCCCATTTATGAAGCACGGGTAGGGAACAGGTTGCAGGGTCTTACCAGACGCATAAGAGCTTCAGGGGATGTCACTGTTCTGCCAAGATGCCTTTTGTCTCGACATTCTTCCGGCCCGCCCCCCAGTTACCTGGGCACTCCCTCCTCTCTCCAATCACAGAGTCCATGCTGGGTCCCCTCTCTGGGCACAAGAAGTGCTTTATTTAGAAAGCTGTTCTCACTGGCGGTAGCCAGGGGTGAAAACTACAGCAAGACACTGTGCACGGAGTTGGAGAAAGGCCCATTTGCCTTGGCAGACCTTTAACTAACGTCTCTGCTTTTCTGCTCCATGACTCACTCTAGCCCCTACTAACTCAGAGCTTTTTCTGGGGCTCTATTTGGAAGATTCATAATCATTTCTCCCATATCCTTCCTTATTCTTGCACTAGCAGGGTGTGGGTCCTGCATTAGGATTTCCAGAAATTTCTTACTGTTTTTGAAAGGTCATGTTAACAGCGCTTTAGCACGCAGCCCTAGAGTTACACTGCTTGGCTTGGACAACAACACCCATCCTCTCCGTGGCTCTGTTTGCTAATTGTTTTTACGGTGTTAAATTTTATTTTGTTGATATTGCCTCATTGGGCTAACCCTGGCATCAGCAAACATTTTTTTTTCTTTCTTTTCTTTTCTTTTCTTTTTTTTTTTTGGTCGAAGTGTAATTGACATAAAAATATATTAGTTTCAGGTGTACGACATAGTGACGCAACATTTATATACCTTATGCTGTGATCACTGTGATAAATCTAGCTACGGTCTGTCGCCACACAGTGTCGTTACAATATTATTAACTATATTGCCTGGGCGACTTACTTATTTTATTACTGGAAGTTTGTATCTTTTAATCCCCTTCCCCTTTTCGCCCACCCCCTCTGTTTACTCATCTTTCAATTTGGATAATAATACTATCTATTTTGTAGACTTATTTAAATGGCTTAATACATGTAAATTGCTGAGTGCTGTGGGGGGCCCATTGGAAACACTGAATAACTATCAGCCATTACATTTCTCTGGTCTACTAGTGACACCTTTTCTGGTCTCCCGGTACTGCTCTGAATTTGTTCCTTTTATACTTCTTCTGGTATTTTAGTGGCATTTTGGAAGGAAGATGAGATGAAATACATGAACTCTCTCCATCACTTTGAACTGGAACTGAGCACTTGCCTTTGAAAAACGCAAAAATAAGCACTCCAGGTGGTGAATTTTCTACCATTTTGAGTTTCACATCCTTGGTTTACTTAGACTAGCATAGCTGTAGAAAACCTTGGAGACCATCTAATAGAGTACTCTCTCTTTAAAGGAGCAAAGAAAGGAGAAATACCTTCCCTAAGGTTGCAGATCTATTTCGAGGGACAGATCCTTGCTTCCCAGTCCAATGTCCCTACCACTAAAAATAAGTAAATAAGTATCTACCAGAAGTGCCAAGGTGATAAACTCCATATGTCCGTGCCCATCTTGTGCCCTTTCCTCCCCTTACAACAGAACAGTCCCTCCTATCTAAAGCCAGTCCTTTCCCCAGGACTGTCACCCCCAACCTCTCCTGCTTTCTTCGGTGTTTTCTGTTATTAGTAATACCTTATTTGTAGCATATTCAACCTCTTGCGTTTAACTAGTTCCTTTAAACATATCGGAATCTATCCCTTTAAGAAAAAGGAACAACAGGGGCACCCGGCTGTCTCAGTGGGCGGGAGCATGCAACTCTTCATCTCTTGATCTCCGGGTTGTAAGTTCGAGCCCCGCAGGGGGTGCAGAGATTACTTCAAAAAAATGTTTTAAGAGAAGGAAAAGGAACACCAAACCTATTGGGCTCCTTCCTCCACCCCCAGACTCTGCTCCATCTTTCTACTCCTTTTTGCCTCCAAAGTGCTGCAAAGTACCCTCCGCATTGTGCTTTCCTCTCCCCCCCCACCCTACTTGCATCTGCTTCCAGCCTCATTGCTCCAGCACACGTCCCTCATTAAGATCATGTGTGACCCCCATGCCACTCAGTCCAACAGAACATTTTCAGGCACCAGGTTCTCCCAATTCTCAGCAGCAAAGGAAGCAGGTGACCAGCTCTGCCCTCGTGCAACTTGTTCTTTGGGTTTGGGGACGCTAACGCCATCCCCTCTTTTATGCCACCTCCTTGGCCATTCCTTCTCAGTAGTGTTTGCTGGCTCGTCCAGTCTACCTGGCCAGTCAATGTTGTGGTCACACAAGGCTTGGTCTTGTTTCTCTTTATCTTCATTTTTAAAAGTAGCTTTGTTCTTTATGTCTCACTCTCTGTGTTCCCTGGGTGAGTTAGAGCCCAAGGCTTCGATAGCCATCTATATACTGTCAGCCCCCGAATTTAGATCTCCAACTCAGACCTCTCTCTCCGCTCACTGACTGCTGTCATGTCTTCTTAGATGGCTCAAGGATGCCTCGAAATCAACACTCTCTCCTGAAGAAGGAACTCTTGCAGTGTTTCATAGCTCAGTGAAAGACGCAGTAATCGATCAAGTTATACAACACTCAAACCAGCACTAACCTTGGTACCCCTCATCCCCTCGATCCGATTCAGCACTGAAACTGTCTAGCTTATGATATGAATCCATCCACTTCTCTCTACATCCACCCCCTTCCTTCCCCAACGCCCAATGCTGCTCCCTTCAGCTCTCCCCTAGACTACGGTGCATGCGGCTGTGCCCTTGATCCCCCAATCCTTTCTCTATACCACAACCAGACTGATGACTTCAGCACACATCTGCTTAGGTCACTTGCCTCCCCCTTCCCTTTCCCACGCCCCTCCATGCAGACCTCCAGCAAGCCCTTTAGTGGGTTCTTTTTATTCCTAGGAGAAAGACAAAATTCCTCGATATGGCCTGCAAAGCCTGGCTGGCTCTGGCCCCTGCTCACTTTCTAGCCATTTCTCACGTAGTGCTCCCTCTGCTGTCTTCAACGCCAGCACCGCTTCCTTTCCCCCAGCACTCTATTTGCCAGGCTCCTCCCACCACAGGGCCTTTGCACTAGCTATTTCCCCTCTTTGTGTGGTTAACCCTTTCTCAGCCTCTCAGGTCTCAGGCCCAGCATTATTCCCACAGGGAAGACAGTCTTCCCTGATGAAGTCAGGGCTTCTTATCAGAGTCTCTTCTAGTACCAGACACTGACTTAGTAGCCTTGCCGGTGTACGTTTATTTGTGTGATTGAATAATTTCTCTCCCTGGCCACTCATTCATTCTTTCATTCAACAAATGTTTACTGAGCCCTCTACTGTATACCAGGCATTATTTTAGAAGGGGAGACACACTGGAAAGAAATAAATACACAAGATGACGTCAAGCAGTGAAAAGTGCTGCGAAGAACCGGGAAGTGGGGTGATAGGGCAGGGACTACGGGAGTCTGCTGACGGGTGGGACAGTTGGAGAAGGCTTCTGGGAAGGGCAGGCTAAGCGGAGATGTAAATGCAACAAGAGGGCGTGTGGGGGATGGGCATCCCAGGGAGAGGAAATAGGAGGGGGAAGACTGGAGGTTGTGGACCCTCCTCAAGGAACGGCCGGGAGCCCTGTGGGGCTGGAGTGGAGGAGTGAAGGGGAGGCTGGTGCAGTCCGGATGGGGTGGGGGCCAGGTCATTTCCCTTGGGGCCTTGTAGCCCAGACGTGGGAAACGAAGTCGTTAGGAATGACTGGATTCTCTGCATCTTCTAAAATGATCCCTGACGCTGTCTTGAGGTGAACGGACTGAAGAAGGTAGCACTTCTGGGATTTGTTGGTGGCTTTCTCCAGACCCTCCAGTGGGTTTCCTTTTCACCTCGAGCAAAAGTCAGAAGTCCCAGCAGAGGGGCGCCTGGGTGGCTCAGTGGGTTACAGCCTCTGCTTTCGGCTCAGGTCATGATCCCGGGGTCCTGGGATCGAGCCCCGCATCGGGCTCTCTGCTCAGCGGGGAGCCTGCTTCCCCCTCTCTCTGCCTGCCTCTCTGCCTACTTGTGATCTCTCTCTGTCAAATAAATAAATAAAATCTAAAAAAAAAAGTCTCAGCAGGGCCCGTGAGACCTGTCTCCCCTCCCTCCCTCCCTCCTCTTTGGCCGTGTTCGCCCTTCGGAGAACAGAGCCAAGCGCGCGCCTCCGCCTGCATTTGGTATTCCTTTGGCTACCAGGAAAGCAGATATCAACAAGGTTTGCTCAAATGTCACGTTGTCAGAAAGGCCTTTCTCCATGGTCCTGTATGTTCCCCTTCCCTGCCTCATTTTCTCGGTCAATTTCTCTTTGTTGTACCTACCATCTGACCTGTACATACCCCGACCGCCCAGGCATATAAGCGGCGTGCACGTTTCTTCCGCGAAGGCAGAGGCTTGGTATGTTTCACACACTATCGAACAGAACTCCCAGAACAGTGCCGGGCCCACAGTAGATGTTTACTAAAAGTTTGGGAACTATTGTTGAAACGGAGAGACGAATGAAGCAAAGAACGGCTCCAGGGTCTGGGACAGCCTGAGGTCATCTGGAAGATTTTTCAAGGTGAGCGTCAGGACCTCCTCGAAGCCTCCCAGCTGTGATCCCTGAACTGCTTCATTCTGTCCCAGATTCAGAGATGCACGCTCTCCCTCTGGCGCCCACGGAAGCCCGCGACACGTCCAGAATTCTAGGAGTCCGGGCTCCCCTTCTCTTCCCCTGGGGAGAGAGGGAGAAAGTTGTGATGAGCCAAACAGACTGGCCCGGTTCCCGAGAGAGTAAAGGTGTCATCAATCTAAGGCTGGTCCCATAACCGACGTTTCAGATGTTATTGACTCTGTGTGGTTCCGGGCAAACAACTGACTGCCTACTTTAAGAGACAATATCACTAAGTGCTTTTTTTTAATGCAAAAAGAAAAATAAAAAAGAGCTACCTATTTTCCTCATTCCTCCAGGTGCCCAACCCGAATGGCTTGTTGGAGCGCATTTTCTGCATTCTTAATAGATAGCCAGCAGGAAATGCCTCCTATAGCCTGGGCTGGAAGGGTAGAAAGTAGCGAGGGGAGGGTACAAAATCCCCAGCCCTAGTTCCGCAAGCACTGAGCTGCTCCTAGGGGGTCCAGGCAACTCCGACTACCACTACTCACTTTTGCTCAGCTGTCGCATCTTGCTGTCTCCGTCGATGGTCGGGAATTAAGGTAGGAGAAGCTGGCTATTTCTGGGGGGCCGAGGAGGGATGGGGTGTCAGCTGGGCAGGAATCGGGGCAAGGGGATGCTTTGCACACCGTGATACAATCTGGTCCCCTTGGGGCTTTCGTTCCAAGTGATCGCTGTGACCACCTCTCCCACACCCCACCCCAAGCCCGAGGCAGTCACTGTGTCCTTGCAGGCAGACTGTGGTAGATAGAGTTGAGGCCAGACTGCTGACACCAGATTCCATGTTAGAATATTTGTGCAGAAGTTGGGGCATCATTTTGAGGTCGAATTGGAGTGCTAGGTGTCCTTAATGTTTGCGCGTTGGGGAACGGTTGCAAGCTGCTGGACACTCGTGGAATTGTGCTATTCTAACTGCACAGCTGGCAACTGGCAAACCTTGACCTGAGGGTTTTGTGTGCCAAGAGGCTTTTCCTATCATCCAGAGACTGGGGCAGGATCACTTTCTCCCGGAAAGTCTCCCTCCCACCCCTGCTCCGCCTCGCGGCTATCTCCCCCCTCCCCCTGGTTCCAGCTTTGCAGCACCCTTTCTCCTAAGCCAGACCCCAGCCAATTCACGCCTGCATCGGGAGGCCCCTCGCAGAAGGCTCACTTGGGGATGGAACTGTCCACGTTTCTGCAGAGGTGCAGGGAGACGCAGTTCTGCAAAGGCTGTAGCCAATAACGGTTCTCAGAATCTCAGGATCCCCGAGAGACACATCCCCTCCGCTGAGGTCTCAGTGCAGCCTGGAGAATTGCTTGTGAGCGAGATCCAGAGAAGTAAGCCACGGTTCTCCTTTGGGAGGTGTGTCTTTGTGTTTGGGGAGAGGTAGCACTTGTACCCTAATCAGGATCCCGGTTGCCTAAGGTCTGATCCCTGAAGGGGATGGGGATGAGACATTGCCTCTGACTTTCACCCCCTCTAACCTTTCCTGGCTGTGGCCAGTGGCCTGGTCTGTGTGGTCCTTACCCAAGGAGGCTAGGGCATGCTCCACGGCCCTGATGTCCCAAGGGTCTGGCCGGCTGCCTTCCTTGTAGCTTCAGGGAGACTCCGCCAAAATAGATTTGCAAGCCGTGTCAAGCCTGAGCCTAGAGCACTGGCCACTGGCATCTCCAGGAGTAAAACCGTGAGTCTGACAGAGGTGCTAAGCCTGGAGGGACTAGACGGGTGTTCTGTCTGCTTTCCCTGAAGGAAACCAACCACAAGCCTGATGGCTGGCTTATGGGCTGGTTCAGGGTTCCCTAGAGATCAGAAGTCAAGCCTTCACATTTGATACATGGGGACACTGAAGGTCATAGAGGGCTTCTTTGAGTCCCACCGGGTAGACAGCAATGGCAGGGAAGGGACAGACATCGAAGCCAGAGAGTCCTAGCTGTGAGGCATGGGCAGTTCATTTAACTTTCTGGTCCCTCATTTGCTCCTCTCTAAAATGGAGATAATAGTACCTATGTTGACAGTTGTAAAGATTGGAGAAAATATGCATAGAGCTTCTGGCACAGAGGCGGGATTTTATAAACCATAGCGTAGGAGAAAGGCTGGCTCCAACATTTATCATGACTTTATAATTTGTAACACCTCCACTTACTTTTTTCTGTTTTGACTGTGTTTGGGAAATAGATTTGACATACGACTGTGTAAATTTAAGGTGTTACATGCTAATTTGATAAATTTATATATTGTAACGTGGTTGCCATTATGCTGATAATTAGCACCCCATCACCTCGCATAATTATCCTTTCTTTTTAGAAGCTGGAATAATTTAGTCCCAGTCTTTTTGCAAGTTGGAGGACTGTGCTACAGTAAAGTCCACTCATAAGTGGTATTATAAAGTACGGTTGACCGGATGTTTGAACTACATGAGTTTTGAACTGCACAGGTCCACTTATGTGAATTTTTTTATACTGCCGTGCTGTAAATGTATGTTTTCCACCTTAGGATTTTCTTTGCATTTCTTTTATCTAGCTTGGGTTGTTGTAAGAATACAACGTATAAAACATAGACAAAATATGTGTCAAATGACTATTTATGATGTCGGTCAACAGTAGGGTATACGTAGTTATGCAGATTTTTGACTGTGTTCAAGGCCAGTTGTACTTGTCATCCTCTGACTCCTCATAATGTGCTCAAGGATAACACCTTTGCTTTTATTTCTACAGCTCCAAAAATCAGAATATATAGCGTGTGTGTGTGTGTATGTGTGTGTGTGTGTTGTTTTTTTCACATCGAGGAATAACTTACCTTCTGTGAAATGCACAGATCTTGAGCGTACAACTTGATGAGTTTGGACAGAGATGTCCATTCATGTATAACCTTCACCCTCCCCAAGGTGTAGGGCATTTCCAACACCGCGGGGAGTTCCTCACGCCCCTTCCCCATCTCCACCTCACAGCCAGCCACTGTTCTGATCTCTGTCCCCACAGGTTATTTGTGCCTGTCCCATGTAAGTGGAATCCTGTAATATGTGGTCTTTTGTGTGGCTTCCCCCACCCCGCGATCCAATATAATGTCTTTGTGAATTCTCCCTGCTGTTGTGTAGATGGGTAGTTTGTTCCTTTTTATTGCTGACTGACAGTCTATTATATGACAATGTCATAGCTAGTGTATTCATCTCCTAGATGATGGGCATTTGGCTCGTTTCCACTTTTTTGGCTACTTTAAACAGCTGCTGTGAACCACACGTAATGAGGCTTTGTGCAGACATATGTTTTTGTTTCTCTTGGTTGTATATGTCTAAAAGCAGGATTGCTGGGCCGTCTAATAAGCATGCATTTCACTTGATAAGAACCTGCCCAACAGAGTTGTTGTTTGCATGCTTTTTGGAATAAGGATACAGTGGATTCGTTTTTCAGGTAGTGCCTGGTTATGCTTAGCACGGCTGTCACCCGGGGGAAAGAGGGTGATGTGCTCAGCAGAAGCTTCTCCGGACAGAAGCAGAACCCCGCTACGGCTGGGGCCAGAATGAGTCTGAAAGGAGACCTTTTCCGAAGGGTCCTCTGTTCGCTGCCAGATTCCTTCCCGACGTTTCTAGCGGGACCATGAAAGAATGAGCTGCAGAATTCATCTCTTTCCAACCTCCTAATTTTACCCAAGAGGAATCTGAATCCCAGAGAGGCTACGTGTTTCCCCCAGAATCACACAGCTGGGGAAAACCTTGCATTGTGCTTTCTCCGCATGACACGGAACTCAGGCATTCAGCCGTTGTTTACTGACCGACTTATGCTAGGTGCTAGGGGTAGAGAAATGAATAAGAAATGGCCCCCACCCTCAAGACCTAGAGAGGAACAGAGACTATGAACCTCTAAACAGTTGCATTAGATTCCCAAGAATGAATTAGGGTGCCTTAAGCCAGAGCACACTGCCAAGTCTGGTCGGATTGCCAGAGGTAAAGAAAACTCTGGACAGGCTATTTCTCTTGAGTGCCCACTCTGTGCCCGGCCCTGACTTTGGTGCAAGAGGACAGACCCTGCTCTAAAGGAGCCTGCGGTTAGGGTTCTGTGTTGGAAGCCAAGTTTAAGGCAACTGGGCAAACAGCTGTCTTGCATCCACTCTGTCTCAGGCACTGTTCTAGATGCGGAGGCTATGGCAGTCAGCGGGGTTGACGATCTGACAATCTTTCAGGAACTTTTTACCAATATCGTCCTATATATTAGCACAGAGAATGTTTTTGAGATCTGAATTTGGTTCAGAATCTGTCTGGAGGCTGAGGACTGGTGTCGTTGGCCATTGCCTGTTTTTAGCGTGGGGCGGGGTGGTGGGAGGGGGACACCGTCGGACACAGCCAACAAATGAGTGTAGGAATTTGATGGGTTTTATTCTCTCGCCCGCAAAAGGTCAGGATGGCATGGAGAGCAGTGTTTATTATGAAAAGTGAAGTATCCACTGGATTGCTTAGTCAAGTTCTCGGAGTGGGGGGCGGGTGGGCGCGGGGGGTGGTGGGTTGCAGGCCTTTGTCCAGGGGCATCTACATGCAGTTCTGGGTCAATCTTGGCCCATTTGGTTTTGGAGGTGGAAGGCATTTCCCCAAAAGGCAAGTTGCTCTTTTGTCCTCAATGGCCTTTTTTTTTTAAACTTCCCACTGTTCTTCTACCTGAGCGGCCACGTAATTCTCCCGTGTGGCTTTTGAGGGTCCCTTCGGCGCTTTGTAGAGCTCTGTCTTGTTCCCGGAATGCCGGTCAGACAAGGCTCCGCACCTGGTCCCCAGGCCAGTGCCGCATGGCACAGCAGCGCCCCCAAAGTGCCTCTCATCCCAACCACAGCCAAGCCCCTTGGAAAAAAATGTGCCAGTGACGTTTTGTGTTTGGTCCGCAGCTGTCCCCCGCCTACCTGTGTTGCTCACCATGGAAGAGATGGAGAAGACTGGTATCCAGCTGCAGAGACCTATAAAGACAGAGTGGAATCCCCGGTGTGTCCTCTTCACCTATTTCCAAGGGGACATCGGCAGTGTGGTGGACGAACACTTCTCCAGAGCTCTGCGCAATGTCAGGAGCCCCGAGGGCTTGAGCCCCTCGACCCAGAGCCCAGACGTGATGCTGAGGAATGGTGAGCATGTTGGGAGGGAGGAGGCTGGAATTCTCGGTCAAGGCTACCACGGAAAGACCAGTTCTCTCCTGCCTTTGATGCGCTGAGACGTGTGCATTTGGGAAGGCAAGTCACACCGTGAGTGAGAGACTGCACCCATTTCTTGGAAGTTTAGTGTGAAAATCAACACCATAATCCAACTAGGTCACCTGTTTCATGATTTCCTTAATTGCATTCAATGCTGGGTTCACTGCTTAGTACATAATAAGAGAGCCATGACTGTTTGCTATTATCAGCCTTCGTCATTTATTTATTTATTTAAAAGATCTTTATTTATGTATTTATTTGTCAGAGACTGAGAGAGAGAGAGAGAGAGTATGCAAGCATGAGCAGGGAGAGTGGCAGGCAGAGGGCAAAGCAGGCTCCCCGCCTGCACGAGCCCGATGGGGGGCTCCATCCCAGGACCCCGCGATCATGACCTGAGTTGAAGACGCTTACCTGAATGAGCCACCCAGGTGTCCCAGCCTTTGTTATGTATTATTATGATTACTACTACTGGCCTGACCACATGTCCCCTGTAGGTGCACCCAGCCTCCCTTCAAATAATAGCAGATGACCTGGCGAGCGAGGGCAGGGCTCCAGAGGGGTCCATAAAGAGTCTCAGGGAGCATCTCTCTCCCCGCCCTTAACAGCATTAGGACGTCAACTGCACACACTGTTTGGTAATTGAAAAATAAAAAATAAGCATTCTCGGGGCGCCTAGGTTGTTCAGTTGGTTAAGTGTCCTACTCCTTGTTTTGGCTCAGATTATGATCTCAGGGTCGTGAGAACAAGCCCCAAGTCAGGCTCTGTGCCCTGCGGGGAGTCGGCTTAAGACTGTCTCGCTCTCCCTCTGTCCTGCTCTCTAAAATAAATGAATAAATAAGCATTCTTCCATCTCCAAACAATTATTTCAAGAAAGATGAGTCCAGGAGCGCTCATCACAATACCCAGGGTTGGGGAAAACTATAAAATTAAGCTGGCAGGGCTGTAGTAGGACTTTCATAGACCCTAGATCCTTCTGGGCCTCTTCCTCAGTACAATTATGAAAAAAGACACATTGTGACTGCAGTGGTATAAAAACAACTTTAATTCAGGCTGGATTCTTTTTATGTATTCATTGTTTTGTTATATTCATTTTTCTTCTAAGTTTAAAAGATGTTAAAACATTTCATGGGCTCCTAAAAGTATCCGTGGGCCCTAGGTACTGAACCTGCTGTGCCTCATGGAGAAGTCACCCTGCGAGATGGATGGGAGTCCGTCCACCATTTTGAAATGTGCAATAGACCGGGGTCTGGTTGATTTCAAGAACTCTCAGTTGTTGTTGCCCAGCACCCGTGTTGAATGCCCAGCTGCCACCGGAGTATGTACATGCCTCCAAATGGTTGTTCGCTTTATGCAAAGATGCCAAGTGGGCGGCATCTGCCTGTGGAGGACGATCTTACCTCTTTTCAGGAGCCATCACTCCAGCTTCGCTCTTTGGGCCTGAATGGGGACTTGGTGTGTATATCCGATGTATTCGCCTTTGCAGAATTTACTTTTGTCCTAGAAATTATTTTTCCCATCAGGTGACATGATTTTCTGAGACTCTTGTGAGTTGAGCAAACACGTGGAAGGGGGCGTGGTAGCAGCGGCCACTAAAGGAAATGATGTAGAGTTTGCACTTGCAACGGGCACAATGGGGGTGGGTGGCTGGAGGGTGGGGAGGTGATGTCCAAGAGGGTAGTGAGTACTTCAGAGCAGGAGCAGCAACGACTGACTGAGTCATTTGGGGAATTAACGTGTAGTAACAGCTGATAAACGGGATAAGTGGGTTTCAGAGGATCTAATCCGCTCCTTGGAAGAATCAGAATCCCAAGCTCTTCACAGGCATGGACTTTGGTTATGTGGCTTTGACTGAGTTCTGAACACACTGGCTTGGATTCATTATAATCACTCCCTTGTAAGTGCCATCTACCTATAGTCCCTCACATCCTGTGTCCCACTTACCTGATAAACCCCAGCCTGAAATAAAACCAACTCTTGGCCTATTGCCCCATTTGGTAGTGAGACTCAAAAATGGCACCTACGCGCACTCTGTCCTCTTCCTCTCTTGGTCTTTGGAACTCACTCCACTCAGGCTTTCATCCTTATGAGTCTTTAACCACTCTCATTGAGGTTAGCCAGTGACCTCCAGCTGCCAAATCAATGGTCTTTCCCTGTCTCCATCTTGTTTTTTGATCCGTCGGCAACATTGGCTGCAGTGAGTGGCTCCTCCCTCTTAGAAACGCCTCCCTTGGGTGCCTGGGTGGCTCAGTTGGTTAAGCGGCTGCCTTCGGCTTGGGTCATGATCCCAGAGTCCTGGAATCGAGTCCTGCATCTGGCTCCCAGCTCTGCAGGGTGTCTGCTTCTCCCTCTGACCTTCTACTCTCTCGTGCTCTCTCTCACTTTCTCTCTCAAATAAATAAATAAAATCTTAAAAGAAAAAAAAAGAAATGCCTCCTTCACTTGGATCTCATAACATCACGTTCTCTTGGTTTTCCTCCTTCCTCCCAGGTTACTACTCTTCAGTCTTCTTTGCTAGACATCCTCTTCTCTTCAGCTTCTAAATGTTTGGAGGCCCCAGTGTTCGGGTCGCAGACAATTTCTCTATCCACATTCACTCCCTAAGGGATCTCTTCTCTCTCTTGGTCTTTTTTTTTTTAAGATTTTATTTATTATTTGACACAGAGAGAGAGAGAGATTGATCACAAGTAGGCAGAGACAGGCAGAGAAAGGGGGGGGAAGCAGGCTCCCTGCTGAGCAGAGAACCTGATGTGGGGCTCGATCCCAGGGCCCTGAGATCATGACCTGAGCCGAAGGCAGAGGCTTAACCCACTGAGCCACCCAGGTGCCCCTCTCTCTTGATCTTAAGTACCATCTGTATCAATTCCAAATGCATTACCTTCAGCCCAGACTGCATTTCAGTTCTGTCTATCCAGCTGCGTATTTGATCCCTTCACATGTCTATTAGGAATCACCAACAGCGAGGCTCAGATTGAGCTCTTACACTCCTTGACCTGTTCTGTCCACTGTCTCCCCATCTCAATATGTGGCACCTGCATCCTTCCGTTTAACTGGGAGTCATGTTTTGTTTTTTTTAAAGATTTTATTTATGTATTTGACAGACAGAGATCACAGGTAGGCAGAGAGGCAGGCAGAGAGAGAGGGGGGAAGCAGGCTCCCTGCTGAGCAGAGAGCCCGATGTGGGGCTCGATCCCAGGGCCCTGGGATCATGACCCGAGCTGAAGGCAGAGGCTTTAACCCACTGAGCCACCCAGGCGCCCCACTGGGAGTCGTGTTTAACTCCTCTCTTTGCCCCCTACCCCATGCCCAGTCCTTTGAAAAATTCTGTCAGTTTTACCTTCAAAATATACCCATGTTCTTTTTTTTTTAAGTTTTTTTTTAAGATTTTATTTATTTATTTGACAGAGAGATCACAAGTAGACAGAGAGGCAGGCAGAGAGAGAGGGGGAAGCAGGCTCCCCGCTGAGCAGAGAGCCCGCTGCGGGGCTCGATCCCAGGACCCTGGGATCATGACATGAGCCAAAGCAGAGGCTTTAACCCACTGAGCCACCCAGGCGCCCCAAAATATACCCATGTTCTGACCATGTCTGCCCCCCTCTGCTGCAATCATGTTGGTCCAGGAAGCTGTCATCTCACCCCTGGATTTTTTTTTAAGATTTTATTTATTTATTTGACAGACAGAGATCACAAGTAGGCAGAGAGGCAGGCAGAGAGAGAGATAGGAGGAAGCAGCCTACCTGCTGAGCAGAGAGCTCAATGCGGGGCTCGATCCCAGGACCCTGAGATCATGACCTGAGCCGAAGGCAGCAGCTTTAACCCACTGAGCCACCCAGGCACCCTCACCCCTGGATTTTTGTAGTAGCTTCCTGACTGGTCTCCTTGCTTGCATCTTTACTCCCCTTCTGTCTGTTCTCAAGATAGTCAGAATGGTATCACTAAAAGGAAAGTCTCATCCTATATCTCTTCTGTTCAGAACCTTCCACTAGCTTCCTGTCTCACCTGTAATCAAATCCAAAGTCTTGCATGGGGCCTTGTTTTCATTTTGATTTCATATCCAGCCATCCCCACCTCATCTCATCCAATCTAGCCTCCTACTATTTGTAGAACACTCTAAGTACAGTCCTGCCTCAGGATCTTTGGAGCTCCCCATCCCTTTCCCTGAAATGCTCTTTCTCCAGATAACTGCATGACTTTCCCCTTTTCTCCATTCAGCTCTCCATCGGAATGTCTCCTCTCCAGCCAGGCCCTCTCTGCACAATCTGTTTAAAAAATAGAAGCACCCTCCCCATCATCACCCTCTGTCTTCTTACACTATTTTTATTTTATTTTATTTTATTTTATTTTATTTTAGTATATTATACATTTATGTGTTTTCTTTCTTGTCTCCTCCCATTCTCTAAACTCTGAATCACCTGGTAGCAGGGCCTCTGTTCATTGCTACTTCCCAAGACACATGGAAGGTGCCTGGTAAATATCGTCTGAATGAATGAAATCGTGATTCAGATGTCTGCCGTAGATGGAGTCACTGAGGAGAGTGGGGCGTGTGGCTTTAGAACCAGCTCCACCATTTATTAACAACGTGATCTCAGGGCACACCCCTTCCTCTGTCCGTACCTCCACTTCCTCCTCCCTATAGCTGAGTATTATTTAACTATAGGAGGAGTCTGAGATCGTGCGTGTCCACTGGCACATAGTGCTATGTAGGTGTTTGTTCTGTTTGTGTGGTCGTAGGAAATCTTGACGTGTTTTTGAGTGGCTAGAGCGATAGGGGGGCCTGCATTCAAAGCACTAAGATCACAGAGCAACAGGCCCCTCCTGGAAGCCTACGCATTTTCTAGGGGCTTCTGCCTTGTGGCGGCCATATGGTTTCCTATGCCCTCTGACTTCATTCTCTTCTGTGACATTCCCGTGCATGAAGGGAGCTTGGACGTGGCCCTGCTTCTTGCCCAAGCCAACTTTCCCAGGCCAAACAGACAGGCAGCCATCTTCTCCACTTACTCTCCGGGTGGCATTTACCCTGTGAAAATCTCCCCAGTCCCTTGACTGTGAAGATGTCTTGCTCACAGAGTGCGGGGCAGGTGGGGCAGAGTTTGGTCCAGCTGACTGGGTAGAGGAAGTCCTGTCTTCCTCGAGGCCTCTGAGCACGGTTAAGAGTCAATCTCTCATAAGTTCTGTTGCCTCACGGGAGGCCCCGTGAAAGAAGGCCTGTCCCCCAGCGGTTCCCACAAGACGGGTTATGTGAGAGCCCCACAGCTTCGGAAACGGTGGGAAATCCATGAAGTGGCCTTTCATTACCGACCGTTAGCAGCCTCTCTGTCCCTGCAGGCCAGCCCCAGGCCGCCAAGCCCCGGCTGAACCGTGTACCCAACAGAACAGGCCCCCATTCACAGGCTCCCGTTACGACTCGGCCACTTTCTAAGGGCGCTCTGTCAAGCCAAATATGCAAAGCCCAAATACAGAGGCCCATGTGGCTAGGAAATGCCATCGAATTTCCTGGCTGTTTTCCCCAGATCCAAATTATTTTTTTATTTACTTATGTATATTTCACACTGGCTGGACTTTAGAAAACACAGGCTGAAGGCATTTTTGAATGATCTGCCTTTGAAAAGGACATGGAGGATTTCAGAGTAGGTAACCAGAGAAGCTTCAGAAGGCAGAGGACAGGGTCTTCCGGCCCCAGGAAAGGGCTGCTGTGAGAAGGTGGGTGAGTGTGTTCCTGAGCACCTAGAAGGACTTTTGCTAAGGGTAACAATTATGGAGCACGTCTTGTGTGGGGGGCGCTTTGCTGGGGGCTCCCACGTGGATGAGCTCATTGAATCCTCACACCAGCTGTTGCTTAACTTGCATTGTGCCCATTATCTTGGGAAGAAAACTGAGGCTAGCCAGTTCGACTCCGATCCTGAGCTCTCAGCCGCTCTAAAAAACTGCCCGCATTCTGTGTTTCATCTTCATTTCCACCCAGGGAAAGGCTCTGGATAATCAGCAAACGACTGGGTACCCCGGGAAGGCGATGTAAAGGAGGGAGTGGGACCCAGCAGGGAGCCCTAGCACCCCGGAACAGGACTGTGTCCTGTAAGCTGTCCTTCTGTCCCTGGTGTTGTTTCAACCTCAGCGAATACAAACAATATCCTCTTTGTTTCTGGGGTGAATGAATAAGAGGCCGGTGCCACTAGCCAAGAAGGCAGAGAAGGGAGAGTCAGTGCGTGCAGATCAGACAAGCCGAAGTTTGGACTGTCACGGTGCAAGAAGTGAGTGTTCGCAGGGTACTTGGTTTTCCCTTCATCATAAAGCAGGATTTGTATTAAAGGCAGAGACAGAGGAAGGGGAGGAGAACGAGAAGGAAGGATGGGTGGAAGGAAAGCCGGCCGTTACGGATTGGTCTTTTACAACCGTGACTCTGATCTAATGAGTCAAGGGGCTTCCTCAGTTTTTATTTAAAAAAAAATGTTTTAATCACAAAGGTACTGTTATTTTTTGAAAATTAGAAAACAAAGACAAGCATTCAGGACAGAAGCACGGGTGCTTATGCATACATGCTAAGTTTTATACCATGACATCATTTTGTACATAAGTCGTGTGTGTATGTGTGTATATATATACACACACACTTGTATATATACATGTAAATATCCCAGGACACAGAGATCATGATCTGAGCCGAAGGCAGCTGCTTGACTGACTGAGTCCCCCCCAGGCACCCCTACAACATCATTTTAATGGCTCCAGCATATCCTTTTTATAGATGTACCAAATCTATTATAATTTTTGGACATCAGATTGTTACCAATTTGTCACTATATTATAAATATCCTTTTGAATATCCTCATAGCTACATTTTTGCACACATCCTTGATTATATCCCTAAATCATTATAAGGGGAATGATTGGATCAAAGGGTACATACCAGTTGCCCCCAGAAACAGTCCAGACGCAGGAGTGTGTGAGAGCACGCAGCGCGCACACAGCCTTCTTTGCAATACCTGGGAGACAGAGGTGCTAAGGGCACAAGTTTTGGAATCAGGCAGCCAGAGCGTTTGCTGGCTGTGTTGCATGGCCTTGGGCAAGTCACCTTAGCCACTCCAAGTCTTTATTTTGTCGGCTGGGTCGCTGTGAGGATCATGTGAGCTCAGGTGGGCAGAGCATTAAGCCAAGCGCCCGGCCCGGGATAAGTGCTCAGTAAACAAAACTCTTATGGATTTGCAATCGCTCCTACCCGCCTCTGGTGTATCATTTCCTAGAAATGGACACGCACTGAGCAGTGGCTTCTGAAAATTCTCTTCCATGCCATCTACCCTCCATATCAGCCTTCAAGGGCTGCTGTGGCTGTGGGCTCTTGTGCCCTGGACTCTCCCCTTCCCCAGCACTCTTTTTTTTTTAAGATTTTATTTATTTATTTGTAGACAGAGAGGCCAGCAGAGAGAGAGAGGGGGAAGCAGGCTCCCTGTCCCAAGACCCTGAGATCGTGACCTGAGCCGAAAGCAGAGGCTTTAACCCACTGAGCCACGCAGGCGCCCCTCCCCAGCACTCTCTTGAGGCTAGGATGGGACTGGGAGGCATGGTCTAAATCTAGATGCTCAGAGCTGGGAGCGTTTTGGATGGAAGCCTTTTTTATTCCACTTGAAAGGAAAATCCAGGCTGCCCTGAGTGTCCCAGAACTAAAATGTTCCTGGACTGGTCTCCATTCATTCATGTAGTTTGGGGTTTGATAAAGCAGCAGTCTTCCCTGGGGCTCCCTCCCTCTCCTCTCTGGAGGTAACTAAGAGCCGGGGACCTTGGGTAAGAAAGTGTCTCCAAGGTCACTTCTAGCAGCGGCTGCAGCCACCTTGAGCCAGTCAGGGCTGTGGCTTAGAATGCCTTCACGGTTCACAGGGTAGGGGAGCACGGCTGCCGGGAAGAGTCCATCCCCCCCCCAAAATTCAGGGTCTCCACTCCATGAGGCACCAACACCCAAGTCTCCTCTGGAAAGATGACTTTCCTCAAGTCATCCAAGGCCCACCATGGGGTTGCTGTGAATTTGGGATGTGGGACACTGCCTCCTTCATGTTGCCATCCCAGCTGTGCTCTGGTGCACTCAGTGACCAGATGGACCTTGGACAGTGGCACACCACCCACTCCCCTGAATGTTTTGATTGGAAAATTCTGGAAGGCTTAAAAAAAGAAAAGAAAAAAGAAAATTCTGGAAAGGAAGCAGCTAAATATTCAAAAGCCACTGGTCTCTAGGTTGTATATCAGAGATCTGTAAGGCCAGTTTGGATGGCAACTGCCCGCTTGTGGGGCTACACATGCTTCAGCGTGAAGCATGCTAGTGATTATACTAAGGCAGCTTAACCGCTCATTTTGTGCTACACAGTGGCCTGCATGGCTACCGCTCTGCAGATACCAATTTTCAAAAGTAGCATTCATCACCAAAGAACAAATCTCAAGATGTTTTCTTGCCCTTGGTTTCATCAAGAGAGGCCAACCATCGCTCCTTACTCATTGTGAGTGATGTGAAATGCCGGGTAGAATGTGCATGTCACGTAGGTTAGAACTTCTTTTGCTCTCATCTGGATTACACGAAAAGCTATGATGGGAGGGCAGGTGTGTGGGAGGGGGACGTGCTTCAGTGTCACTGTGCAGATCACTCAAGATGTGTTTATCTTGTACAAAATCAAGGGAAGTGGAACATTGGGAGAGCTGGGAGAGGCACACGTGGGGTGGAGGGTGGGGGGAAGGGAACCAGACAGTCTCTCCAGCCCTCCAGTCTTCCTTTGTCTCCACGCCCACGCCCCCCTTCATTATCTTCCATAGATGAGAGGCTCTAGGCTTTAAGCACCATCTGCCAGCGCTCCCTCCCTCCTCCCCTCTTGCCTGAGTGGGTGTTGCGAATGGGGAAAACATCCATCCATGTCAGAGCTGCCCTAGACTTTTTGAAGACTCGGTTTCAGCTGCTATCCTAGGCACAATGAGAATAGTATCTCTGAAATTAGAAGAGACTCCATGCCCCCTTGCTAGTGCACAAGAACCTTGCGAGAAGAAACTGAGTCACTACTTTGACCTCGAGCATTTTGCTTTTGCAGGAAGAGGTCCAAGCACTCACTTCCTTACCCTGACTAATCTGCTTTGCTAATTTGGCCCGTGCCCCTGGTCCCTCTAGAAAATGGGGTTTTGACCCCTAGACTTGTATGAATGAGTTATACACGGGCAAGCGTTAAGCCCTTTATAAAGTTCTAGTTGGTGTATTCAAACCACGAGCTATAAAATCAAACCAACCAGCAACAACCAAACACAAATCACCTTTCTTTTTCATTTCCTTCCTTCCTTCCTTCCTTCCTTCCTTCCTTCCTTCCTTCCTTTCCAAATCACCTTTCTAATCAAGCAATTTTACTTCTAGAAGTTTCCTTGAGGGGCTTGTTGGACATGGGTGCAAAGATGTTCATCACAGTGTTGTTAATTTAACTAAACACTGTGCTGCTGCAGGCTCTACTCGTTGCCATGGGCGGATATCTGTGATATTTTAATGACCCCAAAGCAGCCTTAAAAATCCTATGTGATGTGAAAACCATGTGGACCTAAATAGAAGCAAATCCTAGAGAGAAGTATGCCTAAAGGGAGACAATGGTGGTCTCTGGGTATTGCAGTCAAGAGTGGGGTTTGTTTTCTCTTTTGTTTTGGAGGGGTCTCTCTCTCTCTCTCTCTCTCTCTCTTTTTTTTTTTTTTTACTTTTTCTACACATTAAAAAAGAGTCTGTAGTAACCAGAAAAAATGCTGCTATTTCCATTTTGAAAACAATAAGCCCCTAACATGTCTTATCAATCTTTCCTTCCCAGATAGTGACATGCCTCCAAATCAGTGGCGTTTCTCTTCCCAGTGGACAAAGCCAGAGCCAGAAGCATCTTTTGCTTATGGTACCACCAACTGCAGCTTGAATGGGCCCAGTGTCCTGATGCCGGATCAGTACCCAGTGCCCCTGGCGGGGAGCCCCTCCAATCCGTCTGACGAGCTGTGGCAGTACCCCTTCCTGGGCAGCCCCAGCTCCTCAGAGCCTGGCTACTCTCACGCCTACTCCAGTGGGCACATGGTTCTAGAACCCCAGTCCGATGGGAAATATGAGCCCTTTCTAAGTCTCCTCCAGCAAGACCGACACCTCGCCCATCCTCAGGAATCCACCGTGTGGGAGGACTACAGCTCTGCCCAGGTAGCCGGAGGCCCCGGATCGCTCTGCGACTTGCCTCCCGGTTCAGCCCACGGTAAGAAAATTGCCTCCAGATACTTGGAGGACCGCCTCCGATTGGCTGTCGTCAAGAGCGAGTTGGCCACGAGGTGGGGTGCCAAGGCTAATTGCTCCCTCTTCAGACATGGGGCTGTGGAGGGATGGAATGTTCTGCTGCAGTGTTCCGTAGACGAATGATTCAGGGTTAGTTGGCCCCGAATAGTCACCCCAGTCTGTTGACTTGGACTTAGTCTAGAAAAAGGATTTAGGCTGTTGCCTAAAATCCCAGGATCCTGCTTCCACCTCGCCATCAGCCACCAAATAATCTGCTTGGGAAACAGAATTCTCTGACATACCTACAGGCTCAAACTCTATCCTCTAGACAGGTTGGCAACTGGCAGTGATGACAATTTTCTGGGCAGAAACAAGGGCAATCTATACCAACCATCTGCTCCAAGCATTAAAATTCAAAGCCACCGTAGAGGCGGTCCCATGGGTGCCTGGAGACGCCACAGTGCCTGGCTGTCTGTGGCTCATGCCTGTGCCCTGGGCCCCTCCTGCTCCGTCTCCCTCGGGCGCCTGCGCCCTGGCCACCACCCCTCCAGCTGAACTGACCCCCACCCCCTTAAGGCTCATTCACTTCTTCATTCACTCACTTACCCAACCAATATTTAATTATTGCCTACTAGATGCCAACTGCTTACCAAAAAAACAAGACTCCCTTCTTTGTAAAAGGCCGGGGGACAACTGGCCTGAAGCACGCTTTTACTGACAGAACAACCCAATCTACAAAATTTGCCTTTCCTATGAAATCCTTGTAATAATATATATTTGATGGTTTCATGGGGCCAAGTGCGCATCCTCTGGCATTCCATACTCTGGACAAATTTTCACACGTGTCTGTAGTTGTAGGGTTCCATGCCTGAAAGAAATTGCTAGAAGCTGCCTTTACGCGGAACTAAATATACAGTACACAAAGGGCCTGTTCAGCGTAGCCTACCTAAGTCAGGCACCGTGTTCCAGCCTAATGTCAAAAACAAACTTCCCATTAAAATAACACTCTTGTCATTTCCAGAGTTTGATTCAGAATGGACTTCAAGAGTAAATCAGAAAAATGTCATGCTTGGGAAACCCATGACAATTCCCACCCCAGTGCTCTTTTTCAAAAATCTGTTCCTACTGGATTCAGAGGAAAAATTAGGCCAGCCTTGTTTCCATATATGTCTGTGCATACACACAGCAGAGCCCTGTTTCAACAGTTGGTTAGAACACAGATGGCTCAAATCCTCACCTCCCAAACATAATGACTATACAGTTCAAACCCAATGCAGCAAATATTTAGTGAACATCTACTATACGCCAGGCACATTATGGCAAAATTATGAAGCAGGCGTGATCCTATTTCTGAAACTTTCAGACACATTCTGAAATGTTTATCACCAAGTCTGACTACCGAGAACTTCACGCTCTCCTACTAACACTGACGTCAGTTGTATTCATGGGCCGGATGGTCTGGGATCTGTTGGGGAAGTCAGGAACGCTGCCTGGACGATGGGAACGAGACCCCAAGGTACCTTAGAAACAGAAACTTCTCTGTTTTTGTACCATCTGATGAGAGGAAATATGCCCCGTGTCTATCAACTGAGGGGTGGGGGGCAGCTGGGTGGTGGCTCAGTCAGTCCAGGGTCCTGAAATGGAGTTCCGCATCGGCCTCCTTGCTCAGCAGGGAGTCTGCTTCTCCCTCTCTACCCCTCCCCCTGCTCATGTTCATGCTCTCTCTTTCTCTCAAATAAAGAAATAAATAATCTTTAGAAATAAACTGAGGGTCAGGCATTTGGAGTCCCTGGAGATTTCTAATCGTGTTCCTCCTTTCTAGAAAAGAAAACCTATTTTCCCCCTGATGGTGGACCCGGCAATGCCAGCTTTGCAAGTGAAAGTGGGTGTGGGGTTCTGCCTTTGATACTTTGTCCCTATAGCTTGGGAACACAACTTGAGGAGAAGCTCATAGTGTGAAAACCAGGCTCTTCAACTGGTTAAGACCCCGATTTCTATTACTTAGTATTTTCATAGTTGCAGTTTGTTTCATCTTAGTCTCAAAGAGCCCATGTACTTGGTGCCTTGTAAAATGTCTTGACCTTTTTTTTTTTCTTTACCATTTTCTCATTTTGAGATCTGAGCAGCTCTATGGAGTTTTTACCTGGGCAGGATTTAACCCAGATGACTCAGCGAAATGAACAAATTCATGCAGATTAGTTTGCTTACCCCAGATGTTGAGTTTTCAGCCCAGCACAGAGGGCCACCCCGGAACTCCACAGCCCAGGAAAATGCCATCTGAGGCTAAAGGCCAGGACTCTGGGCTCCACATTCAATTTGAAAGTGGTGTTAGTAGGAACTTCCAAATGGGAATGTGGTTCTAATCTGGGTTCATGATGTACTAGTCTCAGAAACTTGGGCACGTTTCTTTAACCTCTCCGTTCCTCAGTTGGCTCATTTGTAAAATGAGGATTAAGATAGTGCGCCACCCCCCCGCCGTGTAAATGCTTAGGATCTATATTCCAATGTTAATCATCCACAGTATGCCATTAAAAGTAAGCCACCAAGCACACAGAGTCAGACTGGCACACAGTAAGCCATCAAAAAGTGACATTGGGGAGGAGGGTATCTTGTATGCCTCAGGCTGCTCTGGGCTATGGGCATGAGGAAAGCAAGAGCAGCGCCATGGCTGCCATGGCTGCCATGGCCGCCATCTCAAATGCTTTACCTTCTAGTGTGAAGGTTGGGGGAGGGCAGTAGTAGATCTCACTAGAATGTTAGCTTCTTAAGAGCCAAGGCACTGAGAGGTGTGTACCCACATCCCAGCATCTGCAACAGAGCCCGGCACAGAGGGGAATACGTATTTGTTGAAGGGATGAAGGAGAGAGTGCTGGAAACAATAGAACGTTGAAGAAGGAAATAGTAAAAATACATCTTTGACACGGTACAGATTATTTTTTTGAAGCCCTTGCGTAAGACAGACCAACGGACAAACCATAAGTCACCGTCGGTGATTAATTGGCCATGGCCAAGAGAAGAGTTGGATTTAGGGCTGGTTCAAGAGCTTTAACGTGACTGAGTCATGCCTCACACCAATCTCTACCTGAGAGGATGAGTTCTGCTAGCCTCCTAATTAATGAAAGTCAGGATTATAAAGTCTCCTCTAAGTACTTGTGAATAGGTTGTACATTTTTAAATGTTAAGCCTTAGAATTACTGAAAACTTGATGCCTGAAATTGTTCCTAGGCCAAAAATAGCAGCAACAACATGTATGGGTGTGGCCTATGGGCCAGAACCCATACCCGCCGTCCTGCTCTGTGCCCACAGTGCCCTTGTGAATTGTGTATGTGCCTATCTTTGGTGCCTTACACAACAGGTCTTTGGGGAGTAGAGATTAAATGAATATTCTCATTTTGTAGATGAGGAGACAGAGTTTCAAACAGGTGACAGGACTTGCCCTAAGATCACACAGCAGCAGGTGGCAGAGGTACACCTCTCTTTGCTCTCCGTCTTAAAGCCATCCTCAATCATAAATGACAGTACACGTAAATCCTGAAAAACAATTCCAAGTTCAATCAAGTGTACCGCAGTGAGAGTTGGCAACTGGTAAGATTGTTTCACTGCCTATGGGTTCCTTGACTATCTGTGGCCGGGACACTGTCCTAGAATAAGGGGGGGGGGATGCTGGGAAAGCGGGCACATGAACAACAGTACCTTGGGCGAAGGTCAAGGGGACGGACTTCCCAAGCAGAGAGCAGTTGAGGGGAGATGGGGAGTGGGTACTTGGCTATGCCAACTGTCCCAAGTCAGCTGTCCCGCCCCTGTGGCTCTGGGCAGAGGGAGGCAGGAGGGCACAGGGACTGGGAAGGGGGCCACTTCTGGGCGCCCCAGCAAATCTGCTCTTCAAGTTCCCAGATCTTGGCTGATGGTGAGCACCACGGGAGAGCTTGGGAAAGGCACAGATTGCACGTTCTCACTTCTGATAGATTTGGCACAGAGCTCCATTGCCTCTAGACGTTTGATTCTTTGTATATTTTCTATGAGCCTTTATCAGAGTGAACTGGATGACCCTTTCAGTAGGAATCAGTAGTTCCGAAAGATCTCCTGTGTGAGGCTCCAGATAAAGATTGGTCAAAAGAAGGAAGGTCAAGTCTCCTCGTCCCCCTCTGATATGGGCTCAGTCCCCTCCTGCTAGCAGAGGCAAGTTACTTAACCTCCTTAAACCTCCCTCAGCAACTTTTCTCCACACCGCCTCCACAACCATTGCCTTCACCTGCCAAAGCCTCCATCCTGCATGAACCTCGCTGGCTCCCTTCTGTGCCTCACGCCAACCAAACAGCCCTTGGGAACATCACCTGCCCAGCTGTTTGTACTTGCGACTCCTGACCTCAGACTTCAGCTGGGCCCTCAGGAAACCGACGACTGCCATACTTGCCCACTTTTCAACCCCAGATTCACACCCTCAGCTGATGCTCTTGCCCTAGAGTTGATGGAGAAAACAGAGGTCATCTGATTAGTACTCTTCTGACTCCCCACAAACACACCTGTGAATCGACGTGCACCTGTGTCCTCACTCTCCTTTTGGACCCGTTCAATGTTACCGTGTTCCCTCCTCCTAGCCAATGTCTGTGCTGCCACGTGGCCCTTCTCTGGTCTCGGTGACCTTCCCCACGAGGCTATCCTCATCCTCCCCCATCATCATTTGATCTCTTCATCTTTATTTGATCATTCCCATTATCATACAGATAGAAGGCAAATATTAGAGCCCCCCTTTTTTAATTAAAGATTTTATTTATTTATTTGACAGAGAGGCAGAGAGAGACAGCGAGAGGGGGAACACAAGCAGGGAAACAGGAAAGGGAGAAGCAGGCTTTCCCGCCAAGCAGGGAGCCTGACGTGGGGCTCAATCCCAGGAGCCTAGGACTGTGACCTGAGCCAAAGGGTAGTGGAGGTTGTTGGACTGGAGGATTAGGTTATGGAAACAGGTAGCGCTAAGACTACATATGCCACTGACATGGGAGGTGGTGGGTGGAGAGTAGATGTTTGAAATTGAAATGGCAAGGGTGCCACGTGTTTGGGCTATGACAGAGTCTAGCGTCCTGCCGTAGGAATGGCTGGCTGGGGTAGAAGGAAGTAAAAGGTCATTTGAGATGAGAATGGTAAGATTCGCTGAAGTGAAGCAAAAGAAAAACCGATAGCGACCTATAAGGTAGGTACTATTTTTATCCTTATTCACATGACAGGAAAATTGAGGTTTAGGGAGGTTAAATAATTAGCCCAAAGTCAAGGTCAGTGAGTACCAGAGTCCACTTTCTCTGACCTCCAAGTCCTTGGTCTTCCCTACGATGCCAATTCTACTCTACTACATAAAATGACAGTGCCTCTTTTTTAAGTCTATATAAAGATTTTATTTATTTGAGAGAGAGCCTGTGTAAATGTTGGGGGAAGGGGCAGTGGGAGAGGGAGAGAGAGAATCTCAAGCAGACTCCCTATGAGCACTGGGCTTCCTCTCCCAACCCCCAAATCAGGACCTGAGCCGAAACCAAGTGTCGGAGGCTTAACCGACTGAGCCACCCAAGAGCCCTGAAGACCCTGCCTCTTTAACAAAATAGTAGCTAACATTGGTTGAGCATATATGAGCCAGGCCCTGTTTGAAGGGCTTTCCGTGTGTTTAATTCACGTGCTCCTTCCCAGAATCTTGGAAGTTACATTAGCAGCCTCGTTTAACAGGTGAGAATGTGGGGCTCAGAGAGACTAGGGAACTCGCCTAAGGTCACACAACGAGGCAGCGGTGGGGTCGGGATTCAGATGGCTTCTTCCTCATCGTGCTTATCCTGTTTTCCAGAAAGCCAGTCGCCGGAGAGAAGAAATGTGTTCTTTTATTGAACCTCAGTCTGAAGAAGAGAATTCCTTTTCCCAAACCTGCTCATGATTTTCTACTGTGAATCCAGATTCTAGAGATGGCAGCGTCCTTAGTCTTTCCATCACTAAAGAGCATCGAGCCAAGAGCACATTGCTGTTCCCCTTAAAATCCGACCTTCTCTTCTTTGGCACCTACATCCTGTGGCAGGAGTTTGCACACTTTAGTGACTCACCAACACATGGAACCGTGAAAAGAGCGGTTCAGGGATGAGAACCGTCGCGGCCCCCCGCCTGCCTCTCCCACCTTCCCTGTACCTGCTCCCCTCCTACTTAGAAATCAGTCTCCTTACCCTGTACCAGCAGGGTTTTTCAAACCAAGACTGACCCTGGGGTGTCCTGTGGGGTGTGGTCCCAATTTGCCCATTGAACAGGGGATATAGCAGGAAGTTGACAGCGGTAGAAAGCAGGCAGGCAGCTTTCTAGCCTTAACCCAGACCCTGGCCAGCCGCGCTCCTGCCTCTGCCAAAGGCAGAATGAAAACGGGGTGGGCAAGACCCATTGAGGAAGTTGAGGCTGGGCATTGCCTGCATCCTCAGAGTCTAGAAGGAAGCTAAGAAGGTTCGGGAAGGCTCTGGTGAATGAAGTTCTTTTGCTTGGAATTTTTGATACCTCTGTTCTAAAAAAAAAAAAAAGTGATTCCAAATGGAGTTGTTGAGAAACCTGAGAACGAACGTATTGGAAATTAGTTAGCAGACTGCCCCGTTCCAGACTGGGCCTCGACTAAGTTCTGTGCCAAGAGCATTTCTTAGTTGCAGTTCCCCAAGTTTCTTTCTGCCCTCACTTTGAGGCTGGGGACACTGGCATCACCCCCCCACCACCACCACAGGTGTTAAGCTGGACCCTGGTGACATCTTCCTGCCACCCCCAGGGGCCCACCTGGCTTGCACAAACAATGAAGCCTTCCCCTTAGCTCTTTCAGTGTCAGTGACAAGGTCTCCCTATCATACTACTTATTGAGGGTTAATGCCAACGTGACTCTTGGATCTTTTTCCTCCCATCTGCTGTGTAAATAAAGACCACAGATCTTGCATGAGTGAATGTGTGACCTTGGCAGTGTAATACAGTAACTGTCTTGAGACTACGTTTTTTCCGATGTGGTACATATGTTTCCTAGATTTAGTGAGAGAAAAGATACTTAGCTAATACAGTTTCTCTCGGAGTTATTTACCTTCAAAAGCCATGTTCTTTTTTAGGTGATGGTTGGAGAAATTCAGGGTGGGGGCTGGTCCTAGCGCTTGCAATGTGTAATTATACAAGTGTGTGCTTCTCTTGGCTGCCACTGGAAAGATTAATCTGCGCTCAAAGATAATATGTACCATCAGGATTGAACTCTTAATATGCTATTTGGGGAAAAAGAAGAAATGATTCCAAGAAGGCTGGCATCTTCCGCAGCCTGGTAAAATCTGATAACATTTCCTTGCAGATTCCGAAGCTCTCTCTTGGATGAAGCTAAAAACTGTAATTCATTTTCCCAAAGTAATAAATAGGGAAGCAAGGTCTCCTGCCTCTGAGAGACCCCTGCCCTTCCAGCAAACACCAGTAAATCCCCACCCAGATTAACTGCTTAATCCTGGACTAAGACTTGTGGCTTTCTCTACGCATCCTTTGTTTCCTTTCCCACCTCACTTCCAAAAAGTTGACTCGCAAAGCATTTCTTTGACTCACTTTTGGCATTTTACTCTTGGAATTAAAAATTAGCATGCAAAGTTGGGGTGGCTGGCCCTGTGTGTTGTCTGGGGGGTTCATCTACACTCCTCATTGATAATCTTGTGAGATGCTAGTTTGTGGGTGAAGGGTGTAGAATTAGCAGATGGGTTCTTTCTCTACAATTTTGGGGAATGGGCAAGTGACATGGTTGACTGACTCTTCAGCTGCTGCCCCAAACAAACAAAAAACCAAGAAAAAGGTGACAACTTCCTTTTTCTAGTAGCAAAGGCTATCTTAAAGGATTCCAAGTAAGAGGGGTACCTGGCTGGCTCAGTCGGAAAGCCTGTGACTCTTCATCTCAAGGTTGTAAGTTGGAGCCCCATGTTGGGTGTAGAGATTACTTAAAAAAAATAAAATAAAATCTTTAAAAAAAAAGTTCCAAGTAAGAATGTTTACATATCCAGTTGAGACTGGTGCTGGAGCACTCTTCCATTGTACAAATGAGCATCGCGGGTAGTACGGGAAATAAAGTCATCTCCACAAATAAATGCTAACTAGAATATCGTTCTCTCTTCCCCACAAACACGATTTCTGCCCTTTCCATAATGGTTTCCCTAGCTTGATATAATGAATTGAAAACAATTTAGTAAACCATTTGTATCTTCCACATGTGCAGTTAATAATGCAATGGCCCATCTCAATGCCTTTACTGTGTAAGACTTTAAAACTACGTCGCTGTGAATTTTTACACATTAGTGGGAATGAAGTGGGCTCTCGCATTTTTATAAGGCTTATAGTTTTATCGTTATTTTAAAATAAATTTAATTAAGATTAAGTTAAGCCTCAAAGAGCAGTCTGGGTGGTTTTTTTTTTTTTCCTTTTAATGATTAGTCTTTGACGCAAGTCGAGTCTATTTATAGCAGTGATGGTTACTTTTTTGGTGAAAACGGTGACCCTCCACTAATCTTTCCAAATGAGCAGACTTTTTGGGGCTGGAGGGGGGTAAGATTTTATTTATTAGAGAGAGAGAGGGAGGGAGGGGAGCACTCAAGGGGGAGGCGCAGGGGGAGAGGGAGAAGCAAGTTCCCTGCTGAGCAGGGAGTCTGACCTGGGGCCCAGTCCCAGGACCCTGAGATCATGACCTGAGCTGAAGTCAGACACTTAAACTGACTGAGTCACGCAGGGGCCCCTCCTTTTTAAAAAAATATTTTGGGGCTCCTGGGTGTCTCAGTCGATAAGCGTCCGCCTTCTGCTCAGGTAATGATCCCAGAGTCCTGGGATCAAGCCCCACATCAGGCCCCCTGCTCAGCGGGAAGCCTGCTTCTTTCTCTCTCAGGCCCCCTGCTTGTGTTCCCTCTCTCCCCTGTCTTTCTCTGTCAAATAAATAAATAAAATCTTTTTAAAAAATTATTTATTTATTTTAGGGGGAGAGAAAGAGAGAGAGAGAGAGTGTGTGTGTGTGTACGCGCGCGGGCGCGTAGGGGGAGGGGCTGAAGGGAAGGGAAAGCAGACTCCCCGCTGAGCAGGGAGCCCGACAAGGGGACAAGTGTTTCCGTCTCCTAAGACGGAAGATTCTGAGATCCTGACCCGAGTGGAAACCAAGAGTCAGACCCGTAAGGCTCTGAGCCACTCAGGCACCCCCGGGCAGCTTTCTCCTAAGGCTGCTGCAAACCCCGAGCGAGGACCCACCCCCTCCCGCGCCCCCCAACCCCCACCGCTGCGTTCCAGTCCGGACTCTGCAGCTCGCTCGCTGTCCTCTTGATTGAGGCCCCCACCCTGCCAGGTCTCTGTTTCTCTATGTGGAAAATGGTATGATCCCTAAAGTCATTTCCGTGGCTGACGGCTACGTTTTGAAACAAATGTATTTACAACCAGGCTTAGCAACAGTTGCCATACCTGGGCTCGAAGAAGAGGCCAGGGTCGGAACAACGGAGGAGCAGAAGGAAGAACAGGAGTGGGGGAGGGGGGAGGGGGGAGATGTGCCATTCTGGTGCAGGAAGCGCGGTTCGCTGAGTGCCTGGTCCCACAGTCTCTCTCTGTTCCCCTCTGCTTCCTCCCCGCTTATGCCTTTCACAGGTTGAAGCCCCCCCAGAAGCTCGCACCCCTAATTCTAGTGCCTGCTTCCTCTTCCACTGTCAGGGATCCTTGTGATTCCCTTGGGCACCGGGATAATCGGGATAATCCCCCAGTTTTAAGTGAGGCTGATTGGCAACCTTAATGCCATCTGCACCCTTAGTTCCCCTTGGCCGTGTTGCTGAAGATAGTCACAGGGTCCTGGGGTTAGAACTTGGAACTCCCTGGGGCTATTAACCTTCCCAGCCACAGCAGGACTGGAAACGGCCTACCTATCTGATATAAATACCCCCCACCCCCTGCCCAGGCTGTCCTATGCGAGGACTCTGTGTAGCACATCCTCGGGACAGAATTGGACGTTTTTCTTTGTTTCTTTTTCTTCCTTTTCTCCCTTTCTTTCTTTTTTTTCTTTTTCTTTTTCTTTTCTTTTCTTTTTTCTTCCTTTCTTTCGTTTTCTTCCTTTCTTTCTTTTCTCCCTTTTCTTTCTTTCTTGGATTTTTATTTATTTATCTGACAGAGGGAGAGACAGCCAGAGCAGGAACACAAGCAGGGGGAGTGGGAGAGGGAGAAGCAGACTTCCTGCTGAGCAGGGAGCCTGAGTCTAGTTGAATCTAGTGGGGCTCCAGCCCAGGACCCGGGGACCACCACCTGAAATGAAGTGACCGCTCTTCCACATAGGCATACCCCTCGGCCTGGCAGCCTCACCTCTAGAAATGTATCCGAGGAAAAGAATTTGACGAAAGCACCAAGATCGCAGTATACAGGTGTTCAACGCTGCATTGTTCATAATCGTGAAAAATCAGAAACAGCATAAATCCCCAACCGCAGGGCATTTGCTAAAGAGATTATGTTTCATCCATCCAATACATATAATGTACAGACTTTAAAAATGATGCTTAGGGACGGCTGGTGGGCTCAGTGGGTGGAGTATGCCATCCTTCATCTCCGGGTTGTGAGTTAGAGCCCCATATGGAGCGAAGGGATGACATAAATAAGTAAATAAATAGACAAACCTACCTTTATTTTTTTAAGATTTTATTTATTTATTTGACAGACAGAAATCGCAAGTATGCAGAGAGGCAGGCGGGGTGGGGGGGAGCAGGCTCCCAGAGAGCCCGATGCGGGGCTCGAACCCAGAACCCTGAGATCATGACCTGAGCGAAAGGCAGAGGCTTAACCCACTGAGTCCCCAGGCGCCCCAACCAACCTACCTTTAAAAAATGATGCTGCAGATCTTTAGTCATGAAAATGCGTATTATTAAGTACACAAACTCTCCATACGTGCACTGCACACACACAGGGGCTTAAGGCTCATTGTAAAATGTA